GGGCGAATGCAACGTCCTGATTGGTCACGTCAGTCAAAGGGTATACTCTTAGCCTTCACAGATTCCCGGCGGATTCACCGTTGTGATTGGCTAGATATTATCCGTTCTCAGTATGCCATGTATTCCAGACGGATTCAGAAAGCTGATTGGTTAGATATTATCCGTTCACGTATAGGCCCCGGATTCTTCGGGGATTCAGAGCATAGATTGGCTCCATCAAGCTGGAGATATTGGTGCACGTGGACCTCGGCGCCAACACCCCATGTGGCTGAATGGTGCCTGATCGACCGTCTCTTATAGTCGCAAATATCTGGACCAAGACTTACTGAAACATTGAAGTACTTACTGAAACGAGACTTATTGACGCACACGGCTGAAGTACTTATCGAAACACTGAAGGACTTACAGAATCACTGAAGGACTTACAGAAACACAAACCTAAAAGACTTACACAGAGAAATACAACACTGGAGAACTTACCCACAAGTGTCTTCAGCCTCCTGTAGTTGTCCTCACTCGTCATCACCTTCACCTGCACGTCCCCGCTGTACATGGTCACTTCTGGAGCAGCAGGAGGACGCTGCTTCGTGGTGGTCGTGTTTGTCGTGGTGGTCGTGTTGTCGGTCGGTTCCTTCACGTGGTTGGGCTCTTCCTTCTTCTCGTCCATCTTCAGCGTGTCTCGGTGTCTTGGGACGAGGTCGAGGCAGGAGTCTTTGGTGTAGATGAACCCTTGGGCGGCCGAAGACCTCACCAGCTGCGACACCGTCAGGAGACAGATGACCCACGCTAGGTGACCCATCCCGCACATCTGGTCTCTCTTATCTCCTGGTCTCAATACCTCGGTCTGTCCCTTAGCACCAACAACAGGTGTTTTGGTACACACACACACACGGGTACCTATACAAGTACAGGTAAAGGTATTAATACAAGGTGAGGTGTATATATATATGTTCATCTGTAAGCACAGGTATTCTCAGGTGTTCTTAGTTAAGTTAGAATGATAAGGTCTTTAGTCTTTATCTTAACCAGCTAATACAGACAAACACACACACACACACCTGTTGGTCTCACCTGTAGAGATAAGACGCGTGGGGGGCTCAAAACACTGGCTGCCACCATCAGCTGATGGCCAAACGTTTAACAGCTGGGTGATTCTTGAAGCCAGGAAAACGTTGGTCACTGCTGGAGTGCTGAAGCCAGGAAAACGTTGGTCACTGCTGGAGTGCTGAAGCCAGGAAAACGTTCGAAACAGATAAACTAAAAAAAAAAAAAATTCGATGAATTTTAAGAAACGATTGAGTCTTGTACGGTCTTGAAGCTGTAACTCATCACCTCATCCTCCAGGCTGCAAGTAACAGGGAAGGAGCTCTTGGAAGTGCTACTGTTTATGGCACTTTCCATGGAGATTTTATTATTTCCGTGTTACCTTTACGCCACTTTCTCTTTGATGTTACTGTTGCTATTGACACATTCCTTATTTGAAGTTACTGCTACGGATACTTTCTCCTTGAAGTTATTTTTCTTCAGGCACTTTCGACATTTTCCTCTTGAAATATCTCTATCGTCTGGCACTTTCTTGTTGATGGTACTGTACTTGCCTTCTATTATTTCCGGTTTACAAATGTCTCCCCTTCGCGGTAGTTCCTTGTTGAAAGTAGCGTTCACCTTGGGCACTTTCCTCTTGGAGCTAGTTTCCTTTCGAAATAACTTATCTGGCACTTTCCTCTTTTAAAAGTACCGCTGCTACTTTCCTCTCAAAACTAAACTTGGTCACTTTCTCTAACACACTCCCGCTGTCTGATCACTTCCTCTTGACACTTTCGGTATCACACCACTTCTTCTTGACACTATCTGGTCACTTTCCTCAAACAGTGCCACCTCTTCACTGACGTCCTCTCCCAATCCAGCCTCCTTACTTCTCAGGCACCACTTTCCCAGGGACACACTCGATTTGCTTGGTCACTTTCCCTTGGGGGGTCGTCGAGGCGGTGAGTACTTCCGACTCGGTGGAGAGCCGCTGGGGGAGTGTGGTGGCTCTCGAGGAATGAAGGGACACGCCGGAGCGATGAATCAATGTCTTTTCAAGTTTACATGAGGCAGGTGCGCCCCACTCCCACCTACCTACCTACCTACCCCCTCCTCTCTCTCTTCCTCCTCCTCCCCATACTTCTTCTCCTCTTTCAACTTCTCTTCATCCTCCTGTTTCTCCCCCTTCTCCTATTCTCCCCCTCCTCCTTCTACTATCACAGTACACATTATTTACTATAGTCTTGGGGGTGATTGAGATGCTGTTAAAATCACTGCTGTCTCTCCTGTTGTCTATATAGCTGTTCCCTTTACAGCTCCTACCGTCATGCTGTTATGCCGTCATGCTGTTATGCCGTCATGCTGTTATGCTGTCATCATGTTATGCTGTCATGTTGTTACGCTGTCATGTTGTTATGCTGTCATGTTGTTACGCTGTCATGTTGTTATGCTGTCATGTTGTTATGCTGTCATGTTGTTATGCTGTCATGTTGTTATGCTGTCATGTTGTTATGCTGTCATGTTGTCATGCTGTCATGTTATTGCTGTCATATCACCAGGGGAGCTTTCCGCTGTATACTTGTGTTAATTATAAACAGTGTGTGTTTTTTGGGGGTAGTTTTTTGGTTTGGAGTCATTCTTGTCTCTCTCTCTCTCTCTCTCTCTCTCTCTCTCTCTCTCTCTCTCTCTTTCTCTCTCTCTCTGTGTCTGTCTGTCTGTCTGTCTGTCCCATTTATATATAACCAGGTGCTCTCTCAAGTGTTACGTCACACAGGTATCTCGTAAAATCCAGGTAAGAATGACAAACATAACCTACCTCTTCTCTCTCCCCTCAACCTTGTCTTCTCCCCCTCCCCTCTTTTTCTTCCCCCTCACCCATCTCTTCTTAACCCTCACCCCTCTCCCACCTCTCCCCCCTCACCCTCACTACATAATTCACACCCCACAGTTAATTCTTAACATTGATTCACCCGAAATATCAAGCGTAGTATAACACTGGTATGTCGTGCTATACCATGTGTACCTGTGTAAGCTTGTGTATAACTATGTGTATCTATGGATATCTGTGTATATTTGTATATATTCGTGTATATCTATTCATGTATATCTATTCGTGTATATCTATGTATAACTGTGTATATCCATGTGTATCTATGTATATGTTTATATCTGTACATTTATATATATCTGTTTATATTCTAATGGAATCTATCACCTGTGAGATGTGTATGGGTGAGTGTATGACTGCATGAGTGAGTGTATGACTGCATGAGTGAGTGTATGACTGCATGAGTGAGTGCATGACTGCATAAGTGAGTGTATGACTACATGCCTAAGTGCATACCACCTCCACCCCGAGTGTAAGTTATGAAGTATGTATGAGCGCATGAATTTGGATACATCGAGCAATAATCATGCACACTTTATCATCCTGAGTACAACCAGTGCATGACGGCTGCCTGATCAATATGCATAAGCGTTGTGAGTCACTGCATGTTGTTTTATAGGACTATGCATAACCCTGACCTTGTTTTAGTGTTGATTTTAATGTATGGTTAGGTTAGGTGGGGGTTGAGGTGGGGGTAGGGTGGGGGTGAGGTGGGGAGTGGGTAAGTGGGGTGGTGGGTGAGGGTGGGGTGAGGTGGTGGGGGTAGGGTGAGGGGTGGTGGGGGTGAGGTGAGGGTGGGGGTAGGGTGGGGGTGAGGAAGGTTTAGGTTAAAGTTAGGTTTTTGTTATGCGAATATGTTGACATCAATGTGTACAGAGGAACATACACTTTAGGTAGTGTGTGTGTGTTTATATGTGCGTGCTTGTGTTCCATAATCATAAGCGCGTGTGTGTGTGTTTGTGTCCTTGAGAAACATATTACTCAACTCCTGGAATATTTTCAGGTCAAAATGTGAATAATCAAGGTTTTTTTGTGTGTGTATGTGTGTGTGTGTGTGTGTGTGTGTGTGTGTGCATCTGGAGATAAGATAATGGTTGTCCCTCGTGTAACGAGGACGGCCGGCCCAAGAGCCACCTAGGAGTGAATTTGTTTAAGGTGTAGAAGCTGTGGCCAACACAACAACCACACCTTAAGTTAACGAGTTGCCTGACCCAGTGTCAAGGAATAGTCCAAGAAGACCGGACAACTCGCCAACTGCGCTGGCTAACCTTTACCCAGGAATACTATCTGCAAATCAATTAACATCAAGGTGCCCAATTACTGCTGGGTAGACAGAGGCAAATGACGTCAAGAAACTTGCCCATAGTTTCACCCTGCCCGGGAATCGAATCCGGGTCCACTCGCTTGCGAGGCGAGCATGCTGACCATTACACCACAGGTCCAGGTACACAATGGTACACAGGTACAGCACAGTGGTCCAGGTACACAATGGTATACAGGTACAGTACAGAGGATATGTACCACAACGTACTACAGTGACCACCTGAACCATGCAAGCACAAAGCTAACAAATTACACATTAATTAATAATAAGTGTAATTAGGAAATAAATAATTGATAAATGTCATTATACACGTAATAAGTCGATCGTAAATGTTTTTATACGGTAAAGTAATAGGGTTTTACTGCCAATTAACTCCTTGGTGTGCTTAATTTACACCAATCAATAATACTGTAGTAATAATAATAATAATAATAATAATAATAATAATAATAATAATAATAATAATAATACCAATAAAATAATAATAATAATAATAATAATAATAATAATATAATAATAATAATAATGTCATCAGCCACGCCCTTGAGCTGCGACCTTCAGCACCAGTCTCCCACAACCGACCATCACATGTTATGCATTAACTCTTATAAAATTAATCTATTGTCAACGGTGTCTTTCGCGTCGTAGGATAAATTCTTGAACCTCGAGTCTTTAAGAAAAAAAAACTATCCCAAAGATTTAATAAACGTTTAGTGTTTTATTTGGGAAGTCGTAGCTCAAAATTGGGATTCGAATCTACAAATCAAATGATATTAACATTCCCGCTGAACCAAATCTCCATAATGTAAATTTTTTCTAAATTTTCTCGTACCGAAATTTGTAATATGTATTCAAGCGGTTCAATTAAACGTGGAGTACAGATAAAAGCTGAAATGGTGGAAAAGTTACAAAAAAGTTCTTTCTGTAACTAGATACGTCAAATAATTTTATCAATGGTCAGCAGAATAAATTTAACCTAAAATTTTTTTAACTCCGCGGAAAAAATCCGTCTTCAGGAACAAAACAACAAAGAACTTGATCAATAAATGAAGGAGACGTTTTACTATTTATCATCGACAGAATCTTACCACCTTGACATCAACACGAGTGAGACACAACACAGTCATTTATAACCAAAATTCACCGTGTTTTTCTAGTCACGTTTACCCTTTGAAATCAGTCTCAAAAATTAAGTTTATCGATCCCTTCATCACACTTAAATAATACGATCTAGAAAAATAGTAATGAGATGATAGAACAGTACTGTAAACAATAATAATTACGAGAGGCCGAAGAAACAATGGAAATTCATATTATTAGTCGTGTGAACTCTGAAAAATAATTACATATACATTATATTTATCTGAAAAATAAAACAAGTTGACATGCGTTACACTAAAATAAATTCATGACTCTTACCTTCATCTGAAATAAACTTTACAATAAGATACACAGAAGAAATTACATACTGTATATACAATATCATCTGAAAATAAAGTTTACATGTGTGGTACTGAACTACATATGTCTTTCATCAGCACTAAAATAAAACCTGAACTTTAACTTCATCTAAAATAAACTTCACATAGATGGTGAACAAATGAATACATATGTAGTTCATTTACCTGAAAAAACTGCATTTATATTGTACTAAAACCCATAAACCTTACCTCCATCTGAAAAAAACCCACTACACTACCCCATAAACCACAGTCTAAATGTTAGTTATACTTTTACTTACAGCCTAACATTGTAACCTAACCTAACCTAACCATAAAGGTAACACGGCTACAAGCCTTGATCTACCTCAGCACCTGCCATTACCACCGCAAGGTTCCCAGTACTGAAGGGCAGCAATGTTAGTAAGATGCATGCAAGAAAAAAATAGAAAATAAAGTTTGCTCCGGATAAATCAAGGCTCAGTATTTATGGTAACGTTACATAATGTATTAAAAGGATTATAAATCACAGCAACTCTTCATGACTCTGAATAAACCAACGTCATAACTGCAGCCTATTATAATGATGCCCTACACCTCTGAAACACAGTGGTACTTACCTTATGCTGATGTCTCGACCTGTGAAGACATAAACCAGTGTTAGATACAAGGAGTTATCGAACCAGTCAAATAAACTATCGTAAAAAAAATGAGACTGAAGCCATAAAAAAGGCAATAAAGTTAACTATTCCCTCCACCATATTTCAGCAACCAATGACTTTATTATTCATTCATAAATCACAAGAAAAATTAAAGTAAATCCCCAAACCGACTAATGATCAACACTGGGGGTATTATGTTCATAGGATAAGATGTTTACTGCTCATGTTTTGGTAGGTTAGGTTAGGTAGGTTACTGTATGTTAGGGAACTTAGTTTAGGTTAGGTTGGGTAGATTAGTAAAAAGGTTAGGTAGGTTAGGACCAGGCACTGTTTGGGGGCAGTGCCATTTCATTATGAGTTGGGTTCCATTCCACCCCACTAGCACTGCTAGTTGGGGTTGGGGCCCCATTTCACCTCAATAGCACTAATAGTTGGGGCCCATTCCACCCTACTAGCTCTGGTCTGGCAGTTATCTATGAACTATGCATTTGTCACTAGGTTTATAATTTTAAGAGAAGAAACACTCACTCAGCAGATCATTTCCTGGTTATGTTAACTGTCACTACTATCTCACTTAATTTGTTTTCTTCACTATCTCTGAATAGAGTCGGTGCCTCGGGTATCATGTTTAAATTTTCGGTGGTGAAAAAACTGTTGAAAAATATTTATTCAAATTATTGCTCATTTCTCCGTCGTTATCAGTGAGCTCGCCGGAGTCTGACCATACTAGTCCAATCTTTTCTCGTGTT